GAAATGAATGAATGAATGAATGAATGAGTGAATGAATGAAATAAGCATGAACACTGCTATAAACCTAATTTTGATAAAAACAAAACAAATATTTAAATATATGTATATATGATTACAAATGTAATAGCATGCAAGTATTTAAACAAGCATAAATAAAACATAAAAAACATGTATTTAAGTACATTGTAATAAATTATTAGTTTCAGTGTAAGTAAATATTAGTTAAGGCCACTTGATACAAAGTTTATTTAAAACAAATACAGTTTGTGTATCTTAAACATATTTGCTTCAATTAATGATTGAGCCAAAAACTTCTAATTGTAAATTATAGTTTTTTTTTTAAATAAACATTTTTTTCTGCATGTTCCAAAAACACAAATCAAATTCACACAATGCAAGTCTTGTTCCCCGTGCTAAACAGAATGCAAACACTTTTCATTTCAATTTCTCAAAACTGCTCAGAAAGCAGCTATAACCTCATGATTACAAAGTGTTGAAATCTCGACTTTCAATTGTGAAAAACGATTAAATTCAATTTAATTCAAGCTGCTTCAGAGAAAAACCCCATAACTTTTTTTTTACTAAGTGTGTGCAATGATAAAGTGTTAATGCTAAAAAATCAAGGCAAACTTTAGGGTAGATAAAGACTTTCAGCCACTATGCCCCCTGCTGCTGGAATCAGCTTACAGAAATGATCAGATGTGCACCAACATTAGGCATGTTCAAATTGAGACTGAAAACACATCTGTTTAGCTGTGCCTTTACTGTATGAGTACTGTGCTGCGTCCCACAGATTGCACTATTATGTTTTTCGTTTTCTTTTTCATCCTTTTATAACCTATTTCAACACATTTTAAATTGTTTTTATCTGTTTTTAATCATTTTTATTGTCTGCATTTTATGTCCTAAACTTGTCTTTTTTATTCCTGTTTATGTAAAGCACTTTGAATTGCCACTGTGTATGAAATGTGCTATATAAATAAACTTGCCTTGCCTTGCCTAGATCAACATCTGTAAGGTGTGAATAATCATGATACAGTAAACCTCAAACTCTGTAAACAAAACAAATTATGATAATCAAATCTGGACTTTCAAGTAAAGGAATTAACCATCATTATTCAAATACATGCTGAACATTACAAATTGTGAAGTTGAATGTCTATATTACCCCTTATGCTAAATTTTTTTTTAGATGGGGTGCTAGTGGCTGTAATGCACAAGAAAAGAAACCAAAAAGCCACTCACGCGACATCCTTACATCCTTTTTCATTTACAATCCCCCATGTGCATGTCGTGCAAGTTGCGCGCCTTCCTCACCTTCATCTTCCTTTTATCTTTAGTGACAATGGTGTAAATTCCGATATTGATTTTATCGCCCAGCCCTATTAGCCACTAAATCAAAAAGTTACAAATTGCAGTGAGACAGCCTTGAACCATCCGTTTAAATATTCCTGTCCAATCTTAATTAGCAGAGACAACTGTAAGCAAGCCATTTTTAATCAGACCTACCCTGAGAATAGACTTTTAGCATTATCAAATCAATCAGTTCATTTGAGCAACAAATCAGTATGGCTCATGCGAGTCTGAATCGCTAAAATCCAAACGATTTTCAGTCACTTCAAAAAAGCTGTCAATGCAAACGCCCCTTTAGACTGACAATTATTCCTGTGTACCTTCAGGAATATGTCACACAGCAGTGCACAGAAACCACTAGAGGTACCAAACCCTAAGGGTCTGCCTTCACAGTACAGGCCTCACGGGGGGCTTGTGGGTAATTTGAGAATTTCACTAGGATACTACTAAACAATCAGTTGTGCATTCGCAACAGAAAAAAAAAAGTGCTCAGCTAAAATTCAAGTCTGGATCCAGATCTTATTTAAGCTCTGAGACAGAAGACTGCTCTGTTTGCTATCTGTCCTGTAGTACTCGACTCAAAAAATGATTTGCCCACACAGCCGATTGCCAAATGTTTATGGAAGTTCCTTGTAATCCATCTGTTGCATTAGTGAAGCCTCAAGTTTTCTCCCTCAGAGACCGTTTTCTTCCTCTATGTTGCTCTGCTGAAATCCCTGGTGAGACGCTGCAACCATTAAATGCTCTGGCAAATTAGTGTAATTGCCTTATTTGTATTTCATGAGTCACATAACAAACATGTCAGGTTAGGATTTAATTTGTCTCTCTGTTGTGCGACTAATATGTGCATTGTGATTCAGACAACAGGCGAGAACGAGAGCACAGGAAGAGGCTTATGATTTAGAGCGACACGGTGATGAATCACGGCACAATAGCTCCATGCTAATCTATCATGAAAAACAGGCGCACCAGATCCGCGATTCCTCTGCTTTAACAGTTACACCAGCATATCTACATGTATTAGACAGAGACAAGAAAGCATGGTCATATCGGCCAGAGGGTTTCGTCAACCTGTGACATGAGCGATTGATATTGATTACTGCGGTCGACAGCAAAGCATGCAATTACACTAGGACAGAGATGCACTTCAGATCATCTTAACGTGCCACAGATTGCTCGTTGTTTCCCATCAATCTGCTTTTGGTGTCATTCCCCTCTCATCCCTCATGTTGGTTCGAATCTGTATGACATTATTTTGTGTAGAACAGAAAGCATGATACTCTGAGAAATGTCTGTTGGACGTCAGTCGGAATCAATATTGTTTTGGAGCCGCTGACTATCAATATACAATATCTTTAGTGGTGTAATAGATTATATTATGGTTTTTTTAGTTACAAATCAAACCTTTTATTGGGAAAAGCCAAAAAGGAGGGGAGATAAATGTAATTTGCTCTCCATGTATTGCAAAAACTGTACTGCAAGACACTTTTGGTTTTAACAAACAAAACTTAGAAGCTGTCATTTTATTAAAAATAAAACAAAGAAATAATCAGCTGAATAAAAATAAATAGTAAAATATTGAGTACTGTGAAAAAGTCACTGTTACTACTACTGTTTCTGATAATGCTAAATGTATAAAGTGTATATTATTATAATAATATATTTAATTGTATATTTAGTCTCAATTTAAATAAATGATTCAGTTATTCACTTCATGTTTCATTGCTAGAAGCATCATTTTTGAAGAGTTATGCAGTGGCATATTTTTGATGGCTGGTTGTCGCCAGCTATCGGTTAAATAATGTAATTGCTGCCTACAACTTTAGTTTTTGAGCATCAAGTTTAATGCATATGACTGTGATTTTAATCTTTACCATAAACATCAGTGGTTATATCTAAACTATAAACTGTTATCCCAGTACTTTTGTGTAACTTGACTGTTTGTAAACTAAAGACTAAATCTTAATTCTTGCATTTAATTCTTGATTTTTGCTTTTTTTTTAAACAGATTTGAATGCAGCGATTCGAAGAATTAATCAACATGTGCAAATCACGACTGTTTCTAATTTATGTTGCGTGGGTGTTGAGATCCCGATCTTTTAATGCTTAATCGTGCAGCTTATACCGAATGCATTCACGCAGGCTAAACAAGTTACAGAAAACCCCTTTAATAATCTAAGAAACCCTCTGCATCCTGAAAAACCTAACACAATTTTTTTCCCGTCATCATTATATTTTAATGGATAAATGCTTTCATACGTGTGATTTGTGATCGTAATTTTTTTCATTAATCCGCAGGTCACATGTGTTCCGAAGCATGGGTTGTGATTCGTATCAATCACATTACACCCCTAAATATCTCCTGTTATTTTTGCACATAAGAAAGAAAATCAAACAGTTTTTGAACAAATGCTCCTTTTGTGGGTAAACTTTTGGTAAACACATGTGGAACAACCCACACACAGTACATATATAGCAATATTTGCAAATAACACATATGTTCATATTGGCATTTTACATATACAAAAAATACACAATGCAAACATATATGTCAAAATATTCTGCTATTTTAATTGCAAATATGTTTATATGCGAATATATTAGCTATAATTTAATATATGTATTCATATATTGACATTATATCTGAACATATATGTACACATTAGTAATTCCAATGGTTGAAAATAATATATAAGTGTGCCATTTCCAGATATTTACAAATATATGAAAAATCCAAACATGAACTTGTGTCTCATATATGTTATTTGCATATATTTCCAAGTATCATTTCTTTTCTATATAAAAAATGTAGAACAAATGTAAAACACACATGCAACTCATGGTTTCTGCTCATTTTCATGTGAAAAAGAACATGATTATATAATGAAAACATTCAGAAACCATGTTTCATATTCACATGTGTTCCGCTTATGTTCCATATGCATTTCGCGTGTGATTTTTAAGATGCCATTGCACATATGAAGCTTGTCTGGTTTTTCTGTAAAGCTGATTTTGCTTCAAGAATGTTTTGATATCTTCCTGATCAAAATAATGACATTTTTTGCTGCGCAGTGCGCCCTTGGCATTGCATGCAGGTCAAAGGTTAACATCTGTCACCAACAGATCAGCTCGTGCTATGCCCGAACCACCCGGGATTACTGCAGATCCAGACCCATCGTTTGTTCAGCTCTAAAGCCACTTGTGTTTCCATCAGCGCACACACGTTGAGCTCGGCACTGTATAGATTAACCCAGTCCAAGACAGAGCATGATAACGATAGAATAGCCACATGAGACCGCGGAGGCTATCTAATCTAGAGGCTGCCATGATTGAAAACTGGACATAATAGGATTTACATCTGGGACAGACAAGAGCTGCACAGATATAGATATGCAGCAGGAATTGCACCTGATGTCCACAAGAATCACTTTAAAGGTGTGCGGATCGATGAAACAAACACATTACATGATGTAATCCACATGACACTATTGCCAAAAAAACGCAAAAACAACAAGCACTTCCAGGAATTAATCAGTGGAGCTGCGCTCTCATGCATGCAGACGGAAACAAACAGGCAGAGGAATCTGAGGCAACAGTTGTCAATTCTAAAGAAAGGAAGAAAGAGAGAGTAAGAGAGAAGTACTCACTGGAGTCGTCTGAATCGTAGCCCTCCACGTCCGGCTCTTCCTCTTTCTTGCTGGCCACAAGTGCAGTGGCGCCGAAGGCTTGGTCCAGGTCGTCCTCATCCCGGTTGGCATCCGCTTGTGGGCCCTCGGACTTCTGGCTGGTGGAGCTGCTCCGCAGGGAGCCAGCGCGGCTGAGGGCCGGAGGAGCTGTGGGGGGGAGACCCCGTGGGTAACGGGGGAAATAGTCAGATATCTGCTTGATTGGCTGAATGGGACCTGGACATACATCAATGGCCATGTGCTCCTGGATGCTGATGGTCGTCTTCTCGCCTTTGCGTTGTGTCATTCATGCAGCCCTTCTGAGGATGTGCCACCACCCCTGAACCCGCTGAAGGGGCGGCGGGTGGTAGCAGTAAACAAATAAAAAAAAAGAAGAAAAATAAAAAAGAAAACAAGATTCAAAAGTAGAGTCTTCTTGGTTCTGGTAATCTCTGAAAAGCAACTGAGCGTGCCTTAGTGTGTGAGTGTATGTGTGTGTATGTGTGTGTGTATGTGTGTGTGTGAGTTTGCGATCGCAGCGGCGGGCTACATGAGAGACTGCGGGCTGCTCCAGCTCACTGTGGTCATGCCGTCTGTCTGTGAGCCACGCTCAGACCACTACAGCACGCTAACACTGTTACTGGGATGAATGCATGTGAGAGAGAGAGAGAGAGAGAGAGAGAGAGAGAGAGAGAGAGAGAGAGAGAGAGAGAGAGGGAGGGGGCAGGATTATAAAGAGGGACAGAGGGATTGGCTGATGTCATTGCTTAGCAACACGACGGTAAACAGGAACCGGGCGTGCGGCTACTTAATTATGCTATTAGTCCATCTGTTAGAGCGAGAGAGCCGCTGGGTTATCTCTGCCTGTTCCTCCTCTCTCTTCAGTCTAGCGTCTGACTGAAGTGCCGTCGCAGACACACGCCATGTGCTAAACTCAAGCACAATTACCAGCAACAGGTGCTAAATGCCTAAAGTCAGACGTGCCAGGCTAAACATCAATCCAGCTATTAAGATGGGGGTAAAGTAGACAGATTGATAATGCTGTATTTAGGTAAGTGTTTTTAAAGTGCAGATGATGCCAATGGAGTCATTTAATTGTCAAATTAAATATCAAAATATAATGACATAATATATGTAATGATATAATATATTTTGATATAATATATGTACGTGTATATAAATGTATTATGTATATGCGATACACATACATATATAGAAACAAATCTATATAAAACAATTTTGTTGGTATTTAAATGCATATATTATTTGTATTACATACGTATATATCAGACCCCCTAGTTTTTCATGATTTTGCGAAAAAAAATTTACTGATTTTGTGGTGGTAACTCCCAGAAACTTGTGGAAAATTTTGTGATTAAATTTTATTAATTAATTTATTTATAAATATATATATATATATATATATATATATATATATATATATATATATATATATATATATATATACACACTTGAAGTCAGAATTATTAGCCCTCCTTTGATCATTTTTTTTTCTTTTTTAAATATTTCCCAAATGATGTTTAACAGAGCAAGGAAATCTTCACATAATGTCTGATAATCTTTTTTCTTCTAGAGAAATTTTTGTTTGTTTCATTTTGGCAAGAATAAAAGCAGCTTTTAATAATAATAAAAAACATTTTAAGGTCAATATTATTAGCCCCTTTAAGCTATATATTTTTTCGATAGTCTACAGAACAAACCATCGTTACACAATAACTCGCCTAGTTACCCTAACCTTCCTCGTTAACCTAATTAACCTAGTTAAGCCTTTAAATGTCACTTTAAGCTGTATAGAAGTGTCTTGAAAAATATCTAGTAAAACATTATTTACTGTCATCATGGCAAAGATAAAATAAATCAGTTATTCGAAATTAGTTAAAACTATTGTCTAGAAATGTGTAGGAAAATTTTTCTCTCCGTTAAACAGAAATTGGGGAAAAATAAACAGGGGGGCTACAGTAATAATTTAGGGGGCTAATAATTCTATTATACATATTTATAAACAATAAATATACACTGTACACACACATACTGTATATGGTGTCAAAACAAACTTTTTTTATGTATTGTTGACAAATTGGTAAAACCTAATAGTCTGAAGGATAGTAGCAAAGTATAAACATTTAAATGACAATTCATTACTATGTTGAGCCATATTGTGATCTGTAAATAAAGTATTTGAATATACCATCAAATGATTCTTGTTCTGTATGTCAAACCAGATTAATTGGTATATAAATGAGTGTAACACTGAGGGATTATGTCATAGTGGAAATCATAGTAATTTTAAGAAAAACACATTGAACAGGTCTCATCCTCATGAAAAAAGGTGCATAACACATTGTTTTAGTGCTTAAAACCAAGTTTTTCTTCTATACTCTGCTACTGTACATATATGTGCAACATGTTCAGATAAAAAATAAAATTTCTGCCATTATTTACTCATTGCTGTGTCATTTGAGGCTTGCTTAACTTCTGTGTAACACAAAATATATTTAGAATAATTTAAAAATAAATAATAATAATAACAATAAATTCAGTACTACTGTTTTTACAGTAACACTTTACTTAAAGGGGTGTTCATTAGACTGCCATGAAACCTTTATAATCATGACATGAATGAGTGAGCTTTTATGCAAGCTTATGATAGCTGTCATTAAGTGTCAATCTCACAGTTGTGTCATTTTAAATGTAAAGATGACATTAGGTCGTTCGACTTTATATAACGATGCACAAATTGATCGAAATCTGTCTTAAAGCGGTGCATGCTGGTTAGATATTTTGTCCGGCTTGACGTTGCGCTGATGCCATCAAAGTACCTGGACAGTGCTCCGAGATCAGACGATTTATTTAGCCGGTGCAGGGGCTTCAATGACGACACCGATATTACATGATTAGCTGGATTCCCCGCATGACAACAACCACGTGCGTTTCGCGTTTATTATTGGACAACTTCCGTGTCACAAACTTCCAAACAAAGAATGAACTTTTTATGCCATCTCCATCTTCTACACATTGTGCTTATCAAAACACTTCGAATATTTTACTGCAGTAGGCCAAATCATCTTTTTTGGTAAAACATTTTTTATACAAAGTCTACATTGTTTGCATAGATTTATTTTGAATCACTTTTTATACAGACCCTTTACTGTATACAGCTCCATATATGATTTAAATTTTTAGTGAACAAACAAATATCAACTCAAATTTGTCTTACAAACTTGTAATATAATAGTCATTATTGATCATGCCACTCCCATAACGTTTTCTTAACAAACTGAGAAAAATAATTATTCTATAAAATAGTAAAATATTCTATAAAATATACATTTTTAAATAGTTTTATCCTGTCATGCCGTTTTTTTAAAAAAAAATAAAAGAAATTTAAAAGCAACACTGATGTATGAAATTTCCTCTGAAAATGTAGCTCACTTATTTTGGGAATGTCCTTTTGTTCAATCTATTTGCATTAATGAGTTTGGATTAATAAATAAATAAATAAATAAATAAATCATTGATTTCGCCATGTGATTTGTCATCATGCAGCAAAACACGAGCCCAGGGTGTCCGACCTGACAGCCTCGTCTGCGCTCGGCTAATCTCATTGATTGCCGGCTGCTGCGGTGGTTCAAGTCGGATGCACCTAATGTTTGCTATGACAACTTCACATAAACAAATACATCACAACCTGTTTTTGTCTTTGTCTTGACAACTTGATATTACAAAAACTACAAAACTTGTTATAAATCTGTCATAAACATGATTGTTTTTAAGCTATTATAAATAAGTCATACATTTTATAACAGCATCATTAAAATAATTTTTGACCTCAACTACAGTGATACAAGCTAAATTTGTCATTAATGACACTCCTAAAATAATTTGACATATTATTGACACTTTTAATGAGACATTTTAATGACAAATACAGTTTGTTCCACTGTAAGTGATCAGAGAAAATATTCACAATTATTATGACCTCACGACAATAATAATAATAATAATAATAATACATTTTATTTAAAGGCGCCTTTCTAGCAACTCAAGGACACCGTACAATCAACAAGAGCACTAAAACAACAAAAGAAATAATAAAATATACACAAAAAAGAGCAGATAAAATTAAGTATTAAAAGCCATCTTAAAAAGTGGGTTTTGAGTTTTGATTTGAATATGTTCAATCATCTTTATGACAAATTTAGTCTGTCAAGTTATGTCAAGTTATAACAAACAATGTCATCTTTCAATTTAAAATGTCATAACAGAGTGAATGACACTTAATGACAGTTACATAAAATCTCATTCATCATGTCATGATTATGAAGTCTTACGAACATTCCATCAAGTAAAGTGCTGCCCTTTTTACATTCACTGTCCAAAACTGGACCCCCAGAGGCTTGAAATGAAACGTCAAGTCAAGTTTCAAATTGGCTGTATTTTTGTCATCCAACACAATGGCTTTCGGGCATTTTAAAGGAGTGTTGAAACAGTCTTTGGGGGATCACTATATTCATATCGCTTATCTACATGAACTTCTCCTAAACTGATTTCTGTGTCATGACAAATAACGACGGTGAAGACATTTACTGGGAAAATTGCATCAGCGGCTCTGTTGCTTTATGAAAACTAGCAGGGGGCTATTCAAGTCGTCTCCCGCTTTACGGCTATGATGAATTACAGGCAAAAGCCATTCTCGCATTTTACAATAGCAAAGATTTATAGCAAAAACAGTGAGTAATCTTGATGTACTCTCTTCAGGGACCTCGGCGAGATGAAAATGCAGCTCTCGACTGATGGTGTCGCTTTTAACAAGGGAAGAGGAATGGAGAAATTAATGAATGACGGCCAGGGATATGTACTGTATGTGGGATATAGTGTGATGTTATTCAATCAGGATTTTAAATGGTTGTTCATAATTTAGATCCAAATGTTTGGCATTTCCCACATGGTATCATTAGGAGGAAAAAAAGCAGTTCATTTACTCTTATAATTAAGGAGTCGCCCCCATGCTCGTTGTAATTCTTCAGTGGAAAACACTTGGTGAGAGGGAAGCTCATTATTTTTTTGTCTATTTCCGTAAATCCTTCTGGAGATCCTTTCTTTTGAGCTTCCGGAAGAGTCATGGTTAAAAAAAAAAAGGCAGGGGA